AAAATTAATACTAAGTTTTCAGAAATAGATAAGACATTGAATGGGCAGAGAAGCAGAATTGAATCAATGGAAGACAGAATTAGGGAGATTGAAGGCAAATACCTGAATCCTTCTTTGTGTTGTTGTTATTTGCCGTCGAGTCGGCCCCGACTCATAGCGACCCCTCCTTGGGTTTCCGAGGCAGTACCACTACGGAAGTAGATTGCCCTATCTTCCTTCTCAGGAGTGGCTGGTGGCTTAGCCACTAGGCTACCAGAGCTCCCGCACAAATATTTAGCAAGTACTAAAACGATAGCAACGAAGGAAGTGATAACACGATTCATAAACACAACAAGCTCAGCATAGAAAATTATATGGAACAAAGAAATCAACACCATGAAAAAGCACATAACAAAAATGAGAGCAACAAATCCATATTTGCCAATAATTAAATATCTGGCAAGGAACTTTTCTCTAAGATTTACAGAAAACTCCAATGCCTCAATGCCAAAGGAATTAACAATCCAATTGAAAAATGGGCAGAAGACATGAATAGACACTTCACCAACGAGGATATTCAGGTGGCCAGCTAACACATGAACAGATGCTCACAATCATTGGCCATCAGAGAGATGCAAATCAAAACAACAATGAGATACTATCTCACCCCAGCACTGATGGCAAGGTTCAATGAGACAGAAAATAACAAATGCTGGTGGGGATGTGGAGAGATTGGGATGGGACTTTCATACACTGCTGGTGGGACTGTGAAGTGATACAACCACTGTGGAAAGCAATATGGTGATTCCTTAGAAAGTTGGAATTGGAGATACCATTTGACCCAGCAATCCCATTACTAGGTATATATCCTAGAAGGGTGAAACCGAGGACAGGGACAGATATATGCACACCTATATTCATCACAGCACTATAGCAAAAAGATGGAAACAATAGCAAATAGCAAAAAGATGGAAACAACCTATGTGCCCATCAGCAGAAAAGTGGATGACCAAACTATGGTACATACATATGATGGAATGCTATACAGCACTTAAGAGTAATGTAGAGTCTGAAAAACACCACATAATGTGGATGAACTTGGAGGACATTATGCTGAGTGACATACATCAGTCACAGAAGGACAAATATATAGTATTAGTTTGTTGCTGTGGAGGGTAAAGGAAAGGTTTATATATGGAGGAAAACTTGCTTTGTTGGTTGCCAGGGGTGGGAGGAAAAAAAATGCATTGACCCATGTCATTTTAGTTTTGTGTATTTTACTGTACATAAATTATATTTCAATAAAATGCATTTTAAAAAAAGGTACAAATTACTAATATCAGGAATGAAAAAGGGGTCATCACTCCTTATCTTACAGATAATAAATGAATAGTAAGAAAATATTATGAAGTATTTTTATGACATAACATTTTATCTTGAATGAGAAGGATGAATTCTTGGATGAAATGGACAATATATAAAATGAAACATATTCTTGACAACTCAGGGATTATCCCAGAAATAAAAGTTTGGTTTACTATTGAAAATTCAGTGAGTTAGCTGTATGTAATCCACATGTCAATGGGCTGAAAAGGAAGAACCCTATTATCATCTCATTGTTGTTGCTGTCGTTGATGGGTGCTGGGGGGTCAATTCTGACTCATAGTGACCTTATGTATAACAGAATGCAACATTGCCTGGACCTGTGACATCCTTGCAGTAAGTAGTATGTATGTTTGAGCCCACTGTTGCAGTCACAGTGTTAATCCATCTCATTGAGGGTCCGGTCCCTTCTAATAACGTCCAAAGTACGTGAGATGAAGTCTCACCATCCTTGCTTTCTGGCTGTACTTACTCCAAGACAGATTAGTTTGTTGTTCTGGCAGTCTATGGTATGCACAGTATTCTTCACCAACACTATAATTCAAAGGTATCAATTCTTCCAGACTCTTCCATTGCCCAGCTTTTGCATGCATATTAGGCAATTGAAAATACCGTGGCTTGAACAAGGCACACCTTGGTCCTCAAAGTGACATTTTTGCTTTTTAACACTTCCAAGAGGCCCTTTGCAGCAGATTTTCCTAATGCAATATGTCATTTGATTTTTCATGGCTGTTTCCATTTCAGAAGAGGATGTGGAATGAGGGATATCATAGCTGATAGATGAATATCGGTTTAAAGCTGAAAATACCAGAAATATGTTTACTTTTGTTTTATTGACTATCTATGCAAGGGCATTCGAGTGTGTGGATCATAACAAATTGTGGATAACATTGAGAAGGATGGGAATTCCAGAATACTTAATTGTGCTCATGTGGAATCTATACATAGACCAGAAGGCAGTTATTCAAACAGAACAGGGGCATACTGTATTGTTTAAAATCAGGAGAGGTGTGTGTCAGGGTTGTATCTTTTCACCATACCTATTCAATTTGTATAATTGACACCATCTGAGAAGCTAGAGTATATGAAGAAGAACATGGCATCAGGATTGGAAGAAAACTCATTAAAAACCTGCGATAAGCAGATGAGACAACCTTGCTTACTCCAAGTGAAGAGGACTTGAAGCATTTACTGATGAAGATCCATGACTACAGCCTTTAGTATGGATTATACCTCAACATAAAGAAAGCAAAAATCAGTGCAACTAGACCCGTAAACAACATTATTATAAATGGAGAAAATATTAAGTTGTCAAAGATAGTCTCAATAGGTATAGTAAATGCATTTGAGAGAATTTATTGCCCATTTCTAATGAGCACTAGGAAAGTGCTTCTACAATAAAACCACCTACAAATAACATCACACTTAATGGTGACACAGTAAATGTGTTCCCACTAAGATCTGGAAGAAGAATGTCTTCACAATGTCACTCTCACCACTTGTATACAGTACTGTACTGGAGGTCCTACCCAGTGCAATAAGAAAAGAAAATACTGGATTGGAAAGGAATACATAAAGCTTTCTTTAGTTGATGTCAACATCATGTATGCACACAATTCTAAGGAGTCTTCAGAGGTTATATGTTGTGTTACAGCATCATAATAAAGACCCCTCATTTGTTCATCGTGCCTTGTATTCATACCTGTTGGCTAGTCCACTCATGCTGACCGTGAGTTTGGCCATATTCCTTGATTGGGCCAATGAGACAATAGCAAACGTGATGCAAGTCAAGACTTGAAAAATGCTTGCTCGTGGAAGCTTGCCCCACTCTTGCTGCTCTTTGGAATGCTGAGATTCCATAGGAAAACAAACCACACAGAGTAGATATATGAAGATATGTACCAATTCAGGTAAGTTTCAAAAGTCTTGTATCTAAGACGTTTTTGTCACAGCACTTCCCATTCCTCAGTAGGCATAGTTCATGTGCTCCCATCTTCCTGCTCTTGGTTTTACTCTTCTTCCCTCTTTATCCCTTCCCTCCCTCTCCTTTTCTTTCCTCCTCTCCCCTTTCTTACTTATCTCATAATGTGATGCCTACTGTTACAAGGCTCCTCCTTGACATGGTCCAGAGCTCTTTAACAGAGGTCTGTTTCTTTTAATGTGGTTCTTGGCATAATGTTTGTTCAATAAATACTCAACAAATAAATCAGTGGGAACCATGTTTTTGTTTCTAATGATAATAACCAAAATGAATTAGTGTAATTGTTTTCATTTAGTCTAACATATACTTAACAGTATTTACTGAGTGCCTATTATGTGGTTGGTGGCTAACCCACAGGTTAAGGGTTAGAACACACTCAGTGGCTCCATGGATGAAAAGCCTGGCAAGTTGATTCTGTAAAGATTTGTTGTTGTTATGTGCTGTCAAGTTGGACCCGACTCATAGTGACCCCTCCTTGGGTTTCTGAGGCAGTATCACTATGGAAGTAGATTGCCCAACCTTCCTTCTGAGGAGTGGCTGGTGGGTTTGAACCGCCAGCCTTCTGGTTAGCAGTCTAGTGCCTTAGGCACTACGCTGACCAAGATAACCCTGTGGAGCAGTTCTACTTTGTGAGGCATGGGGTCGCTATTAGCTCACTGTCAGCAGCTAACAGCAGCAACATCATATGCCAGGTACTGGAAAGTGAACTAGCTATAAAAGATCTGGTTCACAGGAAAGAGACAGATGTCCATAGGGTCAGATTTATTGGCCAGTATTATGCCTTTTCTGTAGAAACCGAGATGTTTGCTGTTGCTGCTGTTAGATGCCATGGAGTTGGTTCCGAATCATGGCAACCCTGTGTCCAACCGAATGAAACACTGCCAGGTCCTGCACCATCATCCCAATCTTGGCCATGCTCGAGCCCATCATCACAGCCACTGTCAGTCCATCTCGTTGAAGGTCTTCCCCTCTTTCACTCACCCTCCACTTTACCCGGCATGATGTCCTTCTCCTGAGACTTGTCTCTTCTGATAACATGACCAAAGTACATGAAAGGAAGTGTGGCCATTCTCGCTTTTAAGGAATATTCTGGCTATACTTTTCCAAGACAGATTCTGGCTATACTTTTTCCAAGACAGATTTGTTCGTTCTTCTGGCAGTCCGTGGTATTTTCAATATTCTAGCTGCTTTATTTACTCATTTTGTACTCACTAAATGCAGCAAAATGAAATGCTGTAATTAATTGAATCCAAGATAGGATCAATCAGAAAAATTAAACCATGATTTGGTAGATTGGTTTGAATCTATGTGACTCAGTAATTTAAGACTCACCAGAAGTTGCAAAAATGGTTGAGAGTTTCCTTCACCCAGCTTCCCCTGACGATGATATTTCTCTGGTAGCATAGTGCCTAAGGCACTTGACAGGTTTGAACCACCAGCCACTCCTCAGAAGGAAGGTTGAGCAATCTACTTCTGTAGTGATACTGCCTCAGAAACCCAAGGAGGGGTCACTATGAGTCGGGTCCAACTCGAAGGCACATAACAACAACAACAACAGTACATTGTCAGAGCCAAGAAATCCACATTAGGACAATATTATTAACTCAGGGAGCAGATTAAAAGCTCTTCTTGAAATCAATTCTTATCTTCTATACAGATTTTCACTTCGCTGCCACCTTTTACTCTGGGAATCTTTGAACAGTGCTGCAGTCAGAAGAGCTTGCTCAAGTACCCACAGCTCTACTCCATTTCTCAGGATGAGACCATTTTCAGCACAAAGGTAAACAGAACGTTATTTCAGGTCTTTCATCTCAAGCTGACTCCAAGTGTAATTTGGTCTCTCCCCTTTCTGATACTTTAGGAAAAATAATTTTAAAAATACAAGAAGTAAAGCCCTGTGCCATGTTCCTTCTGGTTTATCTTATACGAAGAATAGAGTTTCAGTAATTTGCAAATTTTCTATGGCTGACTTATTGCTACAGTAGCAGAGTTGAGTAGAAGTAGCAGAGATCACATGGACCTTTACAGGAAATTTTCACTGACTCATGGTTTATGGTATTTCATCAAATTTGGAGTATTTTCAGTCATTACTTCTTCAATTTTTCTTTTTTTCCCTGACTACCCTCTCTTCTATTCTGTACTTCCAATTACATTGGGAGCTCTGGTGGTGTAGTGCCTAAGGCATTTAACTGCTAACCAGAAGACTGGCTGGCGGTTCAAACCCACCAGCCACTCCTTGGAAGGCAAACTGGACAATCTACTTCCATAGAGATACCACCTCAGAAACCCATATATATTAAATTGGTTGAACTTGTCCAAAACTTCATCAAAGCTATGTTTTGTTTTGTTTTTTTTATAATGATTTTTAAATTTCCCTTCCCACCTCTTTTATTTTGGGTAGTTTTAATTGCTTTGTCTTCAGGTTTACTTCTGAAAGATTTCTTTAGGCATTAGTTTTTTTTTCTTATGTAATATCTAATCTACCATAAATTCCATTCAGCATATTTTTTACTTCAGGCATGGTAGTTTCATCTCTAAAATTTTCTCTTTGGATAGTTTTTATGTCTTCCATACCTGTACTTAACTTTTTGAACATACGATTTCAGTTATGGTAACTATTTCAACAACATCCCTGCCCACTAATGCTAATATCTGTGTCAGTTTGTGGTTGAATTTAATGGATTTAATGGATTTATTTACCTCTTCATTTTGAGTTATTTTCCTCCTTCTTTACATGCCTGATGACTGTTGATTGAATACTTGATGTTACTAATTTTGCCTTGTGAAGTGCTGGCCATATTTGTGTCCCTACAGATATTCTTTAGTTTTTCTCTGGGATACAAGTAAGTTACTTGGAAACAGTTTGATCCTTTGGGATCTGGCTTTAAGATTCCTTAGGGAGCAATGGAGCATTAAGTCTAGGGGTAATTACTCTCCACTATTGAGATGTTTCAACAAACTAATGTGGCGCTGGAGGCACTCACTCGGCTATGCCAAGTAATTTGGAAGACAGCTACCTGGCCAACTGACTGGAAGAGATCCATATTTGTACCTATTCCAAAGAAAGGTGATCCCACAGATTGTGGAAATTATAGAACAATATCATTAATGTCGCACGCAAGTAAGATCTGACTGAAGATA